TTCCTACTCTTGAGCCCATTGTTGCAGCCACTGTGTCAATCCATCCCAATGAGGGCCTTCCTCTTCTTCACTGCCTCTCTACCAAACTTGATGTCCTTCTACAAGGACCAGTCTTTCCTGACAACATGTCCAATCCTTGCCATCTTTGCTTCTAAGGAGCATTCTGGTCAGACATCTTCCAATACAGATTTATTGTCCTTTTAGTAGTCCATGGTACTTGAAATATTCTCCATAAGCACCACAATTCAAATGCATCTATTCTTCTTCTGTCTTTCACATACATGTGTAGTAGTGGAAAATACCATGGCTTGGATCAGGCACACCTTAGTCCTCAAAGCAATATCCTTATTTTTCACTACTCTAAAATGGTCTCGTGCAGCAGATTTTACCAAATGCAACTCATCTTGTGATATATCCCTGCCATAACCCTAAGACATCTATTTACTGTGTCTATAGATTTACCTATCCTAGATTTTATGTAAAGAAAAAATAAAACCAACAACAAAACAAAAAGTTCAGAAAATTCTCAATCCAAAACAAAACAGAAAATAGTAAAAACTAGACAAATTTAAAATAAGTCAAAAGGGAAAACAAATGATATGGTGTTAAATTTTTACCTAACTACATCTGCTTCATTTCACTTTCCAACACACACTGTCTGATAGCAAGACTATTCACTTACTTGGTCAATGGTCAGAAAGGATTCACTGGTGGATTATGCATGTGGAAATTGATTTGGGGCCTTTACTATCATCAATAATCTTCTACAAACTGTATACCCAGAATTTAAGATCTAATACAGTTCCCTCATCCAGTTTTCGATTTTATTATTCATAATCCTTGGATCACACTAGCTAGTGTGATTCTTCCATGTGAATTTAGCTGACTTAGATGGCTCCTTGTTTTAAGACAAGGCTTTCAGAACCCATGTGCTATCCTTTCTGAGACCTAAGCACCATTTGATTTCTTTGTTACACTTTACTGTTGCCCCCTATATTTTCAATGGTCTCTACATGAGGGGATATATGCAATAGGGCCACATCATAAGAACTAATGACTTCCAAATCCACAACCTTGGAATCATAGTCCTCTGCTTCTTCTCATGCTAGGGCAGTGTTTCTCAACTTTCCTAATGCTGCAACCCTTTAATACAGTTCATGTTGTGGTGCCCCCCCCCAACCATAAAATTATTTTTGTTACTACTTCATAACCGTAACTGTTATGAATCGAGTGACCCCTTGAAACAGTCACTTGACCCCCAAAGGGGTCACAACCCACAGGTTGAGAACTGCCACATTAGGGTGTTTCAATCTTAAAAACCAATGGGGTATTTCAGTTCCTTTAATCTGTTAAATAGTGTGTTTAAGGTAAAATCCAGTGGGGTTTCCAAATCATAATTCTTCTGGTATGGCAAATGAAGACTGCTGTGCACCTTGAAAGTACAAAATCTAAAATCTCAGTTGTCATAGCAAAAGGACTGAATAGAAACTAGGT